CTTTTGTGTGTATGGGCTTTGTTTACTAGTGTTTAGTTTATCTGATAATCTGAATCTGATAATTGGAAGAGAAACAGTCCTTTCTTCTTCAATTAAGTTTGCATGCACACATGCTCCCTGGGAAGTAATCTGGAGTGACTATGAAAATTTATGCACAGCACATTGATGCGATGCGCGCAGGCACATACACACATATATTTTGATAGTGTTTATGATGCATATATAATTAGATAATTAATTGATCAAATTAATTATAGAAGACTGGTTTCAAATAATTTTTTCATTAGTACATGATCTATATCAGAAGTATGTAAAATCAAATAATTTTATATTGTCTAGAAAAGATAGCTATCTGGGTCTTTGAAACTTTAGCACCATATTGTTTTTATGATCAAGGGACTTGAAGTTTACAATTCATCCATCAAATTAATTTGGAGGCAAGTGGGGATTATGTGTGTGCTTTAAATTCAAAAAATTAGAACAAAATTAATGAATAATAAAGTTAATTTGTGCAGAACAACCTCAAAAAGAATGGAAGAAAGAGTAATGTATTCCAACCACATTGAAGCATATCATGGGTGACATGTGGCCATCACATATAAAAATTAACACTCCACATATCATGGTGCAATGGTTGTGTTTGGGGCCACATAGATGCTGTGCACTTGTGCCATATAGATGGCTACTTGACAGGTATATATGGAAGGAACATCTCATTTTAATCCTTATTTTTAATACTTCATAATTTAGACTTTAAAGTCCTTTCCATTTATTCTTTCAACTATTCAATCTCATCAACGTTTTTTTTTTTTTTTCACCAGAAAAAGTAGTTTAATTATGTGGGTAAAGGGAGGTGGAGAGAGCAGCACAAATTAGACACTGATATAAGTGTGTAAAAGTTGCTTATATTAATGATAAAATCATTTCAAATAAATCAATATAAATATTTAAAAATGATATTTTAAATTAGAATTCTCTAGTTTAAATTTTTAAACAAAATAACAGATTCATAAACTCAAAAATCTATAAAAGTAAATTAGGAAGATTAAGTTTTGAAGAGTAAATCCAAACCAGACAACATCCAACATCTTATAATTCACAAATTACAGCTAACTAAGCAAACTAAGAACACCAATCAACATATATATACTCAAGTCTTATGTATCCTCCAACCTGTCTAACTTAAAAGGAAATTAAATTAATAGAAGAGACTTAAGCAATTAAAGGAACATAATAAGAGCATCCAATTTTGAGTTTGGATTGGTAACATATCTCAATTAGCCTTGCGGGGGAGGAGTAAATATATACCCGGTTCTGGGGTTCGTGTTTGGCCCTGTTTCTGAATAATCCATCAATTCAGTCATCTCCCTTGGCGATAAACCTGGAACTTCCTGCAAACCGCCAAACACATTATTCTCAAAATATAAAATTGTAAATGATCGAAAAAAGGGGAAACGGAAAAGAAAAACAAGACCAACCTCCATTTGAGCAGTCACCTGTTCATATTGAACATCAGTCTCCATCGCCTTCCGACCAAATCCTTAAAATTCAAAGGACAACAAAAGTCCAAGAATCAGAATCAGACACAAAACAAAGAAACTCTTAAAAATCAAGTCAAAAAAAAAAAAAAGAAAAAAAAAAGAACGAAATACCTTGAGATAAAGAGAAGACTAGAAGTACCGAAACAAGAAGAGCTCTGACAAACCAAAACCGACCCATTTTTCCTTACAGAAATCTGCGAAATGGGTGCCCCTTAGAATTTAAATACAATGAGAAGACAACAGGTTATATTTTTATTTTCAGAGGGTTTTTTTCTCGGAAAGTGGTTCGGCATCAGATCCAATGGAGGACTTTAATGCGTAATATGAGGCGCAATAACTAGAGGAGAGGATCGACAGTGTGTAGGTCAGAGATAGAAGGCCGCGCATCAGGATTCAATCATATATATAGTGTTTTCCAGATCCTACTTATACTAGTCCTGAAATTGAAACTGCTATTTTGTTTGCTGCAAGAAAACAGCAATTTGCTTTGGAAACCATTTTCGATGATGTCAAGGTGAAGAGAAATCTTGCATCTGCCTACCGTTTTCTTTTAGTTAGACTGTCAGGTTACCCGTTATTATTATTATTATTTTACGATTGATACATATTTTAATTTAATATATTACATAATATATTAATTAAAAAATTATTATTTTTATTTAAAATTAAAAATAAATAAATTTAAAGATATAATTATATATAAAGTAAAAATTAA